CATAAACAGAAGTGCAGCTGGAACCTGGAGGCCCCAAGCAAACACTAGATGGGGATGCAGTTCTGGGAGGAGGGCTGCCCACCCACCGCTACTCTGCCACACCATGCCAGCTGCCCGGGCCGCATCTGCCCCTGTGGAGGGTCAAGGAAGCCTGGTTTCTGAGGCATACTGCATGACGGAGCAGAAAACCTGGGCTTTAGTATAAGAATGATCCACACTCTAATCACCGCTAACTCTGGGTTGGATAGCTTCTAACTCTCTGAGCCTGTATGAGTGGCTGGGAGCATTTAGAGCTGCTGGGGGCATTATAAAGCCTTCCGAAGATACCCTGTAATTGTTTGTGCGGCCTCTGCTCTAGCTGGAGCACACCCGGCTCTAGATTCTCTTTCTGCAGATCTCTGAGCCCCATGAGGACACGCTCCAGGAAAGCTGATGACAGATGGTCATGAAGTGACCCTTCCGGATCCAGAGGCTGCTGTGGAACAGTACATAGTTAAGGACCCCCAAGAACCTCGAGAACGAAGTGGCCACTGGAGTGCTCAGCTCTGGGAGCTCACATGCGTGTCTGTGCAGCCAGGTTCTGGGCTTCTCACAGCACATACAAGAAAGCCAAGCACAGGCTCCCGAAAACGTGCCAATGGGCTCAGAGTGCAGCCCCAGTTCTTCCGGGTAGCAGGGAAGTGGAGAAGTCTGTCCAGGTTGCTGGTGCCTATAGCCCAAGGTCACAGAGACCTCGCCGTTATCTGCCCCAGAGGCTAAGGACCCACTGGCACTTTTTCTCCAGCTGCCCAGACACCTAGCATCCCTGGGAACTGGCTGTTTGTGCATCAGGACTGTTCAAGCCCCAGTTTTTGGAATGAAAGACTGCAGTGTTGGGAAAGCAAGACCTGATGAGGCCTGGGCCTGGGGGTATGGGTGGCAGAGGAGGGGGCGTCACTGCTTCCTGCAGGGGGCATTATTTGGGCTGTCTTCTGCAGCCACCTCAGTCCTGCCTAGCTGCTATGCAGGCTCACAGGCATGGTCTGAGCCCAGTTCACTTCCTGAAGCACTAGTACCATGGCCCTCCCTGAGCTCGTCTCCCCGGAACAACAGGGATCTATGCTCCTAGCCTTTGCTCCACCTGCTCTCTCTGTCTGCAGTGTCCTCTCTTCCCTTCCCTGATCATTATCCCTACGAAACCAACTCCTTCCAGCTCCACCTCAACTGCCACCACCTCAGGAATCTCCCTCATGACCCTCCTAAGCACATTCATTTCTTACCTATCTTTATACACTGTCAGCAACTCGAGGGTGGGGATGAGTCCTCTCTCTCTCCCCTACAAGTCTGGGCACAGACTTTGCATTACCCTGTACAAGTAAACAAACAAATGGCCAAGACCAGGTTAATGCTAATAAGCTCAGAGTCTTCCACACTCCCTTGGGAGAACCTGAACTAAATCAGTTCTATCAGCTGTACAAAACATTCGATTAATGGATTCCAGGTTCCTCAAAGCAGTGAGAGAATCTCCCCCAAAGTCAATCCTGAGGCCCAGGGCCTCCTCCAGGCCAACTTGGGAACTGGCTACTCTCATAAATTCCTGATTGCTCTCAAAGAGGTGAGCATCAGCTCTCTACTTGATGACATAAAGGAAGGGAATAATTCCTTTTTAGTTTTTAAGGAAATACAGGCAACAGCAAAGCACGCAGGGCAGGGGCATGCAGTGCTAAGCAGGTGAGGTGGGCTGGTGGGAGAGGGCAGCCAGGCCCAGGAAGGAACAGAAGCATACCCGACACGGAGCCTTGGGGGTGCAACAGGGAGAAGGCAAGAGGACACACGAAGCCTCCAGACCCCATGCCATTGACCCCACAGACGAGCCGCCAAGAGGAGCAAAGCCAAAGAAGCCAAGAGGAAGCAGGTTATTTCATCAGCATCCAGCTGGTTAAAAATAACTTCACTTATTAGTTTAAGTGAGATCACCACAGGGCTGGAAATTCACCGTCAGTGAAACAAAAATACTGGAAGCAAATGAGAAAAGTCTACTTTCACGATGAGCTTTATTTCAAAAGAGAAACACAGGAAGGAAGCTGCCTGGATATTCCACAGGCTCTGTTTTCCTTCAGGGCTCTTCATGAGGCACATGCCTGCCATTTTTGGAGTTATCACACTTCATTCCTCTCATCTTGCCAGAGAGAAGCAGCAGCACAGAGCTAAGTGCCCAGGCGTCATCCGGAAAAAGTCAGCCTTAGGGGATGACACTGCCCTGGCGCGAACGCTGGGCCAGACCTCACCTACGCTGCCGCAGAACCTCAAGGCGCTGCCTGTTCTCAGCTGAGGCCCTGGAGCTACACCTTCCCTCAGCACACAGATTGCCCTTGTTGCCTGCGCTGCCAACAAAGGCTCCACTGAGGAAAAGCAACTGCTCCCTGAGGAGGGTGGAAGGCTGTGTGGGAGGGGTTGACGGGCTCTTTCAAAAGGATGAAAGGCAGTTCTCCACAGGGACGGCACTCTCCCTGAGACTCTGGGGAATCCATCCTGCTTTTCTAGAATGCTCAAGAGCAAGCAGCCCTCCCACCCTAGTCTCCCTTCATCATGCAGCCCTGAGTCCCCTTCATGGCCCACCTGAAGCCTCCTCATAAATCAGGCCGGTAAGACCAAGACTCCAGTCTTCCCCATATGAGCTCCTCCCCACTGACCTGGAGGTGAGGGGAGGCCAGACCAGGCTCAGGCAAACTACTCTGGGAGGCAGGGCTCTAGAGCACTCGGATGCTAATGAGCCACATGCAGGGCCATCGGTCCTCACATAGGTTGACAGCTGTCATGAATCGGCTTCCCTTGTTGGTTCCCATGATTCAGGGTGTTTTTGTTTTTCCTGTTGTTTTTTCAGAAGTATGGAGACCATTTTTTGTTGGAGATTTTTCATTTTTACATAATTTCAAAGTTTCAGAAAAATTGTAAGAATAAGATTCACCAATGTATTTTCATTTTGCCCATTTGCTTTACCATTTGTCTTTCTCTCTCTAGATAGATGGATGATAGAGATACCTATTCATACAGAGACAAATATATGTATGCATATATACACGTGTATAAATACATAGGTATATCTATACCTGTAACTCTTTTCTGAACCATTTGAGAGTAAGTTGTAGATATGATGTCTCCTCGTCCCTAAAACCTTGGTACACATTTCCAAGAACAAAGGTATTCGCTCACAGGACTGCAGTACAGTTATTAAGTTATTCTCTAATTCATAATTCATACTCAGATTTTATCAACAATAGCTATTTTTTTCTGGTCCAGGATACAATCCTCGATCACAAATTACATTTTGCATTTTATTGTCAAATGCTTTTAGTCTATTTTAATCTAGAAGAGTCAGTTTGCCTTTCTTATCCTAGATATTTTTTTAAAGTCATTTTGTAAAATGTTTCTCAATTTGAGTTTGGCTCATGTTTTCTCCTGAGTAGATCCAAGTTACACATTTTTGGCAGGAATGCCACTGAACTGAAGTTGTGTTCTTCTGATTGCTTTATATCAGAAAGCACATTATATCATTTTGGCAAAAAATTCAACTCTGGAGTCGCTGTCATGGCTTTGAGCTTGGTGCCCTACAGGACGTGAAGGGATGTTTCCAACCTCTGGCTTCATGTCCTACAATTGTGGGCAAAAAGGAGCACATCCTTGCTCTGACACAACCTGTCTGAAGGCCGGTGAGGTGGAAAGCCCAGACTGTCCTGTGGCCCCCAGCACTCTAGGCAACAGCCACCAACTCCCAGCAGCAAGGCCACCTAGCCAGCAGCTGACTGTAGACCCAGGAATGAGCTCAGCCAGGATCAGCAGAAAAACACAAACTGCTGATCCAAAAAAACAGTGGACTAAATAAATCGTTGTTTTAAGCCACTAAATTCTGGGGTGATATGTTACATAGCAAAAGCTAACTGATACCCTTTGTTCACCAGGGAAGGAGAAGACTCAGAAGCCCCACTGAGATCATTGAGATCATTGAAGAAAGAAGACCATGCTCTTTTTCTTGTAGCTCTGTCCTCTCTCAGGGATCTGAAATTTTGCCTATGTTTGGGATTCAAAGGAGCATCTTAATTTCCTTACGTGGTTTTGAAAAAACAAACCATGGATATTGCTTTCGCCAAGCTTTACAGAGCAAAGCCATGTCATTCAGGAGCTCTACTGGACAGATATCAGAAGACTCTCATAACACACTCTTCCATAGCAATGAGCAAATGAAGCTTTTCTGGGGGAAGACCCTATAGGAGCAGAGAAGCTTGTTAAGTATCTAAGTATCTAGTATCTAAGTATCTAACAAGCACCAGCCAGGGCCTTGTGGTTCACCTGGCTTTCTGATTTCCCAACTCCTCCAACCCCTTCCCAGGAGATTAGAATTTGGTGCCTCTACGATGCAGCCTGAGGGAAGTTTCTTTTTGGGGAAAAAAAGATTTTTTCCTTGTTCATGTGCTGTCCACCATGAAGAGAGACTGGAGGGCAAGCTGCATCAGCAACTGTAGCAAATGCTGTCAGGGGTCTGCCCACTCTTACCTAGATACCTTTACCATTTCCATGCAGTGGGGTTCCCAGTGGGCATCTTTGTGTCCTTGTTGGAGGGTGGCACTCAGGCTACTGGAACCCTTTGCCAGTACACAGCATAAACCACAAATGCCTGGGAATTTACATCTGCTGTAGCAGCCCTTAACCAATGACTGACAGGTGCAGTGGTATAAATACCCCTGCTCTCTCCCCCCCCGATCAGAAAAACTGGTGACCTCTACTGTCTCCAGAGATCGCCTGTAGGACTGAGACAAGGTCACCCCCACATCACCGCCAATGCAGACTCTGCAGTTTTGTGACACCCCTTGCTCAACTTCCTTTCTCTGCCCACTGCCCCACTGCCCTATTGGCTTTTCTTTGGAAGACTTCTTTATCTCAAGGTTTGCCTCTGGAGAATGCAACTTAAGATGGCGACAACCATGTGCACCCTCCAGAACCTTGACAAAGGCTCTGGCACTGACCTTCATCCTTAATACAAAGGGCACTGTACGTGGCACCAGGAGCTGGGTTGCTTTCAATTCTCACATCAATGGCTCTCATGATTTGCTGTTCATTGCTCCCCTTGCTACACACGGTTGTCCTGAAACAAAGAAGACACTGTGTTAGGAGGACTAAGAATAGGAAAAACAGTTATTTTCTGCCGTCAGTTCTGAATCAGCAGAGATTTTTTCTGAATTGAGATCTTTGACTGAAAGTGTCTGTGTTAAGGAAGTAGTCTCCCCCAACAAATGCCTCCAGTCAGGAAGACACAGGTGATGCCTCAGTCAAGGCCACATTATCAGTTCAAGTTTCAGAGTAGGTTTATTTCACAAAGTGCTGCTCTTCTTCTTAGTTCCTTTCTCTTTGAGGGGGTTTGTTTCTGTTCTTCTTCAGATTTCTTAAAATGGATCATTACTAAGCTCATAAACCTTTAGCCTTTTCTCTGTTCTAACACAAGCATCTAGATGTTTTACATTTCCTTCTAGGTACAGCTTTAGTAGCATCTTATAAGTTTGAGTATGAAGTATCATTCAGTTCTACATACATGCTACTTATAAACAAACCATAATTTATTCTTTTCCCATGATTTATTTAGGAATGTCATTGGCAAACAGCAAATAGTAGAATTTTAAAAAATCTTTCTTTTCTAAATGGAGCATCTCATCTATTTTAATCTCATTTAATCACAGATCTCTTCTTGAAATCTGCCATCTTTCTATTAGTTCCACACATTCTTTCTTTCTCTCTTTTCTTTCCCCTATTTTGATTGTTTGAACCTTTTTTGGGCATTCTTTTTTTCATATTGGTCTGGAAGTTATATATCCTTTTACTATCCTTTTAGTGGTTATGACTTATTAATATTTAATATTACTTTTACCCCTTTCTCCAATAATACAACTTAAAAATACTTAAAATATGCTATGTATTAGTATACTTAAAATACTACCTGACCTATGTGCCATTTTTTAGTGTTTAGTATTATTATTACTGCTTTATACAATTACATAATTTCATCTTACCCCCATATTTACTCTTACCATTGATTTCTTTTTTTGCATCTCCAGCCTTCCACCTGAAATTATTTTTCTCCTGCATGAAGATTAACCTTTAGTGTTTCTTTTAGTGCAGGTCTGATATAATGGATTTTCTCACCTTTTGTCTGTCTGAAAATGTCTTTATTTATCTTTTATTCCAAGAAGATATTCTCACTGGGTATAAAACTCTGGATTGACAATAACTTTCTTGCAGCACTTCGAAAGTAACATTCAGTTGTTTGGGGGCTTTCATTGTCCACTTATTGTTGCTCCTTGGAAGATACTTGTTATTACTTTTAATATTTTTCCTTTGTATTTGATTCTTAGCAGTTTCACCATGATATGCCAAGTTTGAATTTATTTGTCCTACTCAGGTTTTGTAGGGCTTCTTAAATCTGTGCCTGGATAGAAGTTTCATATTACTTTTGCTCCTTCTTTCAGAATTCCAATTACATGCATCTCTTCCTTTGACCCTTTCTTCTGTATTTTCATCCTTTTTTTCTTCTCTTCTTTATTCTGGATACTTCCTCTGAAATATCTTCTAGTTCACTAATTTCTTCTTTGGCTCTTTTTACATCAGCTGTTAGATCCATCCATTATGCTCTTAATTTGAGTTATTGTGTTTCACTTCTAGGGTTTCCATTTGGTTATTTTCATAGTTTCAGCCTTTTTCTAAAATTCTCCTTCTTGTCTTCTGAATCTTTGAACATTTGAAAAAGTTATTTGAAGTCTGCATCTACCAATGCAAATATTTAGAGTTTCTCCTTGCTGTCTTTATTGTGGTTGCCTTATCTCCTATGTGACTGGTTATTTTATATTGTGGGACAAATCCTATATTTTCTAAAATTGTTTGTGGAAATAAATTGCTAGGATAATGTTATTCCCTTCTAGAGTGGATTTTTAAAATCAGTTCTGCTAGCTATCAGAAACACTGGAACTCCAGTATCATCCAGCCACATTCATGGCTCCAGAGAATTTTAAGTTATACTGTGGCTACTATGAGGGCTTGTATGCTTCTTCCAATTTACTCATACTCCTGGGTTATAGCCCTGTAAAGTCCCAGCCCAAACTAAAGGACTCTGCAGGCCTGCCTACACAAAACCTGAATTCAGATCTCTGTCCTAGTCCTCTGAGGCTATCTAAATTGCTACTGTTTTTCAGCCATCCTTTATGGAATCTGCAAAAGCTTCTAGGAGACAATTGGTTACCAATTCTGTGTTTACCACTCTAGGCCTCCATTTTCCTCTGGATTTATGAGTACACTCAACATAAATTCATGGACATACAGATCTACTACAGGTATACTATGCAATCAATTGCAAGATGCACCAGGCATTTAATTAATTGATTTTCAGTGTGGAGGGGGATGGCTGTATAGAAAATACCCACAGTGAAATGTATATACCAATGATCAGATACTTCTTGGTTCCAGAAACAATAAAATACTTTTATTTTTAGTATTAATATATTGTATAGTAAATATATCAAACAAGTATGTTTGCTACAAAGAAGTATCATCTCAGCAATGCAGAGATCTACTAATAATGTCCTAACACTTTACAGCAAACCTTTCCAAAGACCCAGTCCCGATTTGTAATGCCTGGGAGATGGGAAGTCTGGCTCCAAACTGGCTCTTCAGAATTCCCAAAAACCCTGGTTATCTGATGCAATGATAATAACAGAGTTATGAAAAATATCTACACCATGGAAACATTTGACTACACCATGGAAACATGTGCATGTAGGACCTGTTTTTTCTGTTTAGAACCTGGATGTAACATGTCCAGCAGACAGGGCCACAGTTTCAGAGTCACTGAAAAGCTTTGGAGGTAGCCTAGCTGTCCTCTTTATTCAACTGCTGCTTCACATGTGGCACAACTGGAGTTGTAAGTCAGCCTGGTTGTGTGTGTTTTCTATGGCCATCCGCCAGCCCATCTTCAAGGTTATTATCAGCCAAAGCAGTTGTTGGAGTTCATTTTGCTCTTTCACATTCCTGTGGCATGAAGGAGACAGTGGAATGGCTCCTGCCTTTTCTGAGTATAACTAAAGAAGCAGCAGAACGAATGGGCAGTTTTCTCCTAGCTGGCCACAAGAATTATTTCTCCACAAGGATTCCTTGGGTCAGGAATTCAGACAGGGCATGATGCGAATGGCTTGTCTCTGCTCTCTAGTGTCTGGTCTCAGGCCTGAGCTGGGAAGACTCACAGACTGGCAGGAACTCGACAGCTGGGGGCGGGAATCACGCCAAGGCATCCACATTTCTGGCAGTTAATGCTGGCTATGGGCTGGACACCACTGGGGGCTGTCTGTGGGTACACCTATGTGAGACATCTTCCTGTAGCCTGGGCTTCCTCACAGCGTGGCCCACTCAGGATAGGCAGACGTCTTACATGACATCTCAAAAGTGACTGTCCCAGAAATCTGGGCATAGATTTTTTCCAACCTAACCTCAGAAGTCACATGGTCTTGCTCCTGCTGTATTCTGTCAGTCAAGGTGATACTCTGCTGTCCCTGATTCAAAGGGAGAGGACACACACCCTGCTTTTCAATGGGAGTAAGGGGAAAGAATTTGTGGCCATACCACCCTCCTATTCATATGTTTGTAGACGAATAGCCACAGAGAAAAAGAGATAATTATACCAGTTAAGAGTCACTACCTCTGAGGTGCGGAAAAAGAGAAAAGAGAAAGAAAACTTGGTACTTGACACATATCTGTATTACTTGAAATTCTTTACAAGCATGTATTATTTTTAACTTAAAAAGGAAATTCAAAATAACAAAGAGGGGGGAAACTATGACAGAACTCCACAAAAATATTTTTATTTGAGAACTCAAAACAAGAATGTGCTGGAAGCTACTGCCTGTTGCACTTTGCCTATCCTGGCACCTCAATAAAATAATGACTGAGCTCCCATATCAGCCCTGGTGGGGTAGTGGGGGTGAATGGGAAGGAGAGCATCTCCCCCCACCTCCCTGCCCACACCTGACTTACCCCAGGGTGCCATCTGCCAGCCAGCCGGTGGTGCACACAGCAAAGGCACAGTCCTGGACCACCGTCCGCAGCTCTTCCGCAGACACCAGGTGAGCGCCCCTGCTCTTGCAGGAAAGCCGAGCCACCTCCAGTTCGAGGCCCTGAGAGCCATTCTGAGACTCCAGCACAAAAAGCTTCCCTGTGTGGGGACAAGAACGAACACAGGCTTACTCCAGGATTCAAGGGAGTTTAACCTCAGGCAACTCACTCTCTGGCAGACACCTGTCAGAACTAGAGTTTCCCATTTGCCTGAACACCTGAGGGCAGCAGCTATCCTTTGCATTCATCCTGGGGACTAGGTGATAACAATTACGTTGGTGGGGTTTTTGTTTTTGTTTTTAGTAGGCTCCATGGCCAACATGGGGCTTGAACTCAGTACCCTGAGATCAAAAGTTGCAGGTTATACAGACTGAACCAGCCAGGCGCCCCTTACTTTGGCGTTTTAATCTGTTTTTTGCTCCTGTGTTCTTTAAAAAAAAAAAAAAGTTAACTCTGCTCTGCTCTGGCATGTTTACCTGGATAAACCCCTCAAATCTTCCTTTCTACAAGCTATTTTACAAACACCACGTAGTAAGGCTCAGTGTCCTCCGTTTGCCTGAGTTGGGTCAGTTGGTGTCCGGGGCACTGATTTAAATCTCAGCTCTCCCTTCTTCTGCCTGCCTCAGCCCGAGGGTGACCCCACACACAGCTCTCCCCATTCCCTGCTCTCTGTCTTATTGTCTCAGGACACTACCAGGCCCTTCCCACAACGAGTTTCCCTGTGTTTGCTGCCATTTCTCTTGAACTAGACAAGGTAGCAGATGCTATGCCTGGTGCACCTTGGCTCCCTGCAGCATGTGGGCATGTAGTAGGCCTCAAAAGACGTGTGTCAGATGAGCTCAATGGGAACATTAATTCAGGCAGACGTGGAAGCTGAGGCTGAAAGCAAAAGAGAGCTTTAGGCAAGAAAACCACGGAGGAGGAGGAGAGCAATGCAGTCCCTAGGAGCTTCCTGTAGAGGTGAAGCAATGCCTTAGATAACCTGATCAAGTTTAATGTGGGGACATGGGCACCTGGGTGGCTCAGTGGGTTAAAGCCTCTGCCTTTGGCTCAGGTCATGACCCTGGAGTCCTGGGATTGAGCCCCGCCTCGGACTCTCTCCTTGGCAGGGAGCCTGCTTCCCCCTCTCTCTCTGCCTGTTTCTGCCTACTTGTGATCTCTGCCAAATAAATAAATAAAAATCTTAAAAAAAAAAAAGGTAGGAGATAAAAACACCCAGTTAGAATGAGACACTTCTATTAGCAAAATTCTCATAATATACTGATTTTATTAGAATGAGAGGGAAATTGGAAGGGGAGGTGAACCATGAGAGACTATGGACTCTGAAGAACAACCTGAGGGTTTTGAAGGGGCGGGGGGTGGGGTGGGAGGTTGGGGGAACCAGGTGGTGGGTATTGGGGAGGGCACGTATTGCATGGAGCACTGGGTGTGGTGCAAAAACAATGAATACTGTTACGCTGAAAATAAATTAAAAAAAAAGAATGAGACACTTTAACTGTTATCAACTGCAAAGTAACTATAACAAATATAACAATCTCTTAGCTTTGGAACCAAAGTTATGAGAAAAATGCAAAAATGTTTCACAATAAACATATCTGTAGGTGACTGGTCCTCCCTCAGACTTGGTACCATTGTGCAGTACACAACCTGAACAACCATACTTGATGACCCTGCCTGGAGAAGCATGTGCCCCAAGACACTTTTGTATTAATGGCATTTGCTTCTGGAAAAAAATTTTGAAATTTAACTGAGGTGATGATGGCCAAGCCCCTGAGCAAGGGGGCTAAAAGAGAAAACCCAGGGCTCACAGGGTAGGGAATGTGATGGACCTCCTCCCCACTGCATACCATCTCATGCACACATTAATACGCAAAGCTTGGACCCTGAAGGGTTAAACTCTCAGGATAAGAGTGAACAAGGATAAACAACATTCCCTGCCCTCATTCTCAGGGGACTGTTGGAAGAATTGTCTTGGTGCTAGGAACCCAAGTGCTAATCCTCATTGGGAATTGCAGTCCTAACAAAAACTGGCCTCTAAGATACTTTAAGCTGTTAATTTAGCTTAAAGTGACATGATATTGACATTTATCTAGACACCTGGTAGGAGCAAACAAATCTTGTCTAGAGAAAAAAATATTTTCATCTTATGTTTCAGGAAATCCCATGCAAATATTTTTTCAAAGACAATGACAAAGATAGTAAAATACAACTAAGTGTGTAGGAGACAAGGCACCACTAGTAAGAAGCAACATATATAACATTCAGCAGACACTGACCCAAAGAGAAATCTGATACTTGTATTGATAGGCATAGATTATAAAACAGTGATGATTACTATACTTAAAGGAATAAAAGACAAGTCTGAAAATACCTGCAAAGAATAGAAACCTGTAAAAAGTGGCTTGGCTGATCCAAAAAAAGACCAGATAGGACTTCTAGAAATTAAAGATACAGTGATAAATTAAAACTGCAATGGGTGTTTTTGGCTGCATATCAGACACAATTGAACAAAGAACTTATCCTTGAAACAGAAATCAGAAGAAATCATCCAAAATGTAGTAAAGAGTTTAAAAAGATGGAAAATAATAAGATAATAAAGAAACATGGAAGAGAGAATAAGATTCCAGAAAGAAACCTTCACATTTACAGGCAACTGATTTTCAACAAGGGTGTGAAGACTATCCAATGGGAAAAGAAGAGTCTTCTCAAGAAATGGGGCTGGGACAACTGTACAAACACATGCAGAAGTGTGACATCGGACTCCTGCCTCACTCCCCACACGATAGCTAACTCAAAGAGAATCAAAGACCTAAATGGAAGAGCTAAAACTGTAACACCTAGAAGAAAACATAGGAAATCTTTGTCATCTTGGATTATGCAGTGATTTCTTTAGATAGAACAGTAAAAGCCCAAACAATCAAAGAGAAAATACATAAATTGAACTTCATCAAAATTTAAAACTGTTTGCTTCAGAGGACAAAATCTATAACGCAAAGTGAAAAGACAACCCACAGAATGAAAGAAAATTTCTGCAAATATACATCAAATAAGAAACTTGAATATAGAGGGGGTGAAGAACTCCAACAACTCAACAACAATTAAAGAAACCAAACAACCTCACTGAAAATGGGCAAAGGACTTGAAAAGATGTTTCTCCAAAGACGTTTCATAAACTTGAAAATCAATGCTCAACAGCACTAACCATTAGGGAAATGCAAATCAAAACTACAATTAAATACCATTTCATACCCATTAGGATGGCTATTTATAAAAAAAGAAACAACAGAAAATAACAAGTATTGGCGGAAATGTAGAGAAAAATTGGAACTATTATGCACTGTTGTTGGGATTATAAAATAGTGCAGCTGCTATGGAAAATAGTATGGTGATTCCTCAAAAAACTAAACATGGAATTACCATGTGATCCAGCAATTCTACTTCTGGGTATATGCCCAAAGAAATAAAAGCAGGCACTTGAATGATATTCGTACAAATTCACAGCAGTAGTATTCACAATGCCTATGGGCAGAAGCAACAAAAGTGTCCATCAACAGATGAATGGATAAACAAAATGTGGTGTGTATCTATCTGTGTGTATATATATATATATATATATATATATATATATATATATAAACATACACACACAATAGAAGAGAATTCTATTGAGAATAATAGAATTAATCAGCCTTAAAAAGAAGAAACATTTGATACATTTGATACAACATGAATAAATCTTGAAGACATTATATTAAGTGAAATAAATCAGTCAAATTACAGAGGCAGAAAATAGAATGGGAGTTACCAGGGCTGGGGTGGGGAGGAAGGAGAACTAATGCTTAATGGGGACAGAGTTGCAGCTGGCAAAGATGAAAAAGTTCTGGAGATGAGTGGTGGTGATGCTTGTACAACAATGTGAATATACTTAATGCCCCAGAACTATATATTTAAGAAGGGGTAAAATGGTATTTAAAAAACGGGCAGGGGTGCCTGGGTGGCTCAGTGGGTTAAAGCCTCTGCCTTTGGCTCAGGTCATGGTCCCAGGGTCCTGGGATCGAGCCTCGCATCAGGCTCTCTGCTCAGCAGGGAACGTGCTTCCTTCCCTCTCTCTCTGCCTTCCTCTCTGACTACTTGTCATCTCTGTCTGTCAAATAAATAAATAAAATCTTAAAAAAATAAAAATAAATAAAAAATGGGCAAAGGATCTGAACAGACACCTTTTTAAAAAAGATTTTGTTTATTTATTTGAGAAAGACAAAGAGCAGGAGCAGCAGGGGACAAAGGGAGAGGGAAAGGGAGAAGCAGTCTCCCTGTGGAGCAGGGAGACCCACACATGGCTCCATCCCAGGACCAGGGGATCGTGACCTGAGCCAAAGGCAAACACCCAACTGACTGAGCCACCCAGGTGCCCCTGAACAGACATCTTTAAAGAAATGGCCAATCAGCACATGAAAAGATGTTCAACATTATTAGCCAACAGAAAAACATAAATCAAAACCACGAGATATTACTTCATGCCCACAAGGATGGTATCATCAAAAAGACATTTTGACAAAAATGATGGTGAGGATGTAGAAAAAGTGGAACCTTCAAACACTGCTGGCGGAAATGTAAAAGAATGTAGCTGCTTTGGAAAACAGTCTAGAAATTTCTTAGTTAATAGCAATTTCTCATAGAGTTATCATATGACCCAGCAATCACACTCTCAGGTGAATACCCAAGAGAACTAAAAACATAAGTTTATATAAAAACTTCTATATGAATGTTCATAGCAGAATTATGTGTAATAAATAATAAATTGAGTTCATAATTGTAAAATTGTGTTCATAACAGCCAAAAAGTAGAATTCACTCAATGATCATCAACTGATGAATGGATCAATAAAGTACAGTATGAATATCCAAACAATGGAATGTTATTTGGCAGTGAAATGAAATGAAGCGCTGATACATGCTGCAAATGGATAAAAACATTATGCTAAGTGAAAGAAGCCAGTCACAAAAGACCACATATTGTGTGATTCCATTTACATGAAATGTCCAAAACAGGCAAATTCAGAGACAGAAAGTAGTTGCCGAGGACTTGGGGAGTTGAGGAGAA